AGTGTAAAAGTATTTTTACAAAAAAAATTACAAACAAAATCAACATTTTTGCCGCATGTGTTAGCTAAATGTAAAAGTATTTTTACAAAAAAATTACAAACAACAATCAACTTTTTTGGCCGCATGTGATAGCTAAGTGTAAAAGTATTTTTTACAAAAAAATTACAAACAAAAATCAACATTTTTGGCTGCATGTGTTAGCTAAGGGTAAAAGTATTTTTACAAAAAATTTACAAACAAAATCAACATTTTTGGCTGCATGTGTTAGCTAAGGTTAAAAGTATCTTTACAAAAAAAATTACAAACAAAATCAACATTTTTGGCCGCATGTGTTAGCTAAGTGTAAAAGTATTTTTCTTAAAAAATTACAAACAAAAATCAACATTTTTGGCCGCATGTATTAGCTAAGGGTAAAAGTATTTTTACAAAAAAATTACAAACAAAATCAACATTTTTGGCCGCATGTGTTAGCTAAGTGTAAAAGTATTGTTATTAAAAAATTACAAACAAAATCAACATTTTTGGCCGCATGTGTTTAGCTAAGGGTAAAAGTATTTTTACAAAAAAATTACAAAAAAAAAAATCAACATTTTTGGCCGCATGTGATAGCTAAGGGTAAAAGTATTTTTACAAAAAAATTACAAACAAAAATCAACATTTTTGGCTGCATGTGTTAGGTAAGTGTAAAAGTATTTTTACAAACAAAATACAAACAAAAATCAACATTTTTAAGCAATTTTTCGATTTTGTGCTAGACTGCATTCACAGCCGTCGTTGGCTGCATGAGGCCCACAGGCCATGGGTTGGACAAGCCTGATATAAAGCTTCTTGCATTGGACTTAAAGTCCAATCAGATTTCAGCTGCTAATTTTCTAATACACATTATAAAATGAAAGAAAACATTGAACTGGTTCCTGTGGGCAACACAAAAACTTTACATATGGAGACAATGTGCATAAATATCATATGCTGTAGTTGCTAATCTAATATTGCTCTGTATTCTCTTTTAAAAACACAGTACATTATTAGTAAAACAAAAGCAAATTTTCATTTCTTACATCCCAGATAAAAGAGAAAAAAAAAAAGAAAAAGAGAATTACTCCTCATTTTAGATTAGTTGGCAGAGTATGCAAATAAGTCTTTATTTGCCCCTGGGGTCAACTGTACATCCAGAACTATTGGTGTAGAGTACACATACAGGGGTTTAATTAAAGCTGGACAGTGCAAAATCAGGCTCACTTCTGCATAGAAACCAATCAGCTTCCAACTTCCATTTGCTCAATTAAGCTTTGGCAATGAAACCTGGATGCTGATTGGATGCAGAAGTGAGCCTGATTTTGCACTCTCTAGCTTTAGTAAATAAACCCCACAGTCTACTGTAGTTATTTATTCCAATCTTCACAAGACTGTCTCAGGCTACTTGACCATCATCAGCGCAGTGTATGGAAACCATGGCTTCCACAGAGTAGAGCTTATGGACTTACACTAAATGACCTGCTGCGCCGTACCAGTATTCCCTTCTAGAAAGCTTTAAAGAATATGTAAACCCAACATTTCATATTCCTTATATGTGCCTGCAGTACCATGTACTTGTATGAAAAAGTATCCTGTTCTCTTTGTGTTGCTTCCTTTGTGTGAAATCCCTGGTGTTCCTGCCAGTCCCCTTGCTTTTCTATCAAAAACTGACCCCACTAGGAAGAGTGGTCAGTTCTCTAGCTGTGCCAGAAACCCAGTGTGCAATGATCAGACTTGTGCTGAGACGCCCCTCCCTGCACTGCCATTCACTGGGGAGACCTGCATGATGCTGTTTCTCCACCCCACTTTTCTATGCAGTTGAGACAGAGAGAATGTAATCACTTATAAAAAAAGGGGAGACATTGTGTTTATGTTTTTATATCTATACACAAATATTTTACCTTTCATTTCGATTTTAAACTGTATGGTTTGTTTTACAAGGTGAGGGTTCACATATACTTTAATGTGTTACTAAACCCCAGGACCCTGCATTCACCATATCTGGTCTCTCACAGTACACAGAACATGGAAATGCAATTATTTTAGTAAATATAAACTGCTAAATAGCTTTTCTCCTCAGCAGTTAGAGCAATCTTGTTACTTCAGTAGAGCACTGGTTAATCTTTTAGGAGGAGTTTTCTTTCTCCCCTGATTGTCCTATGAGGCTGAATAACCCCTAATCTTCTGTCTGGACAGTGCTGATTGGCCCTGTGCTGATCACATGCACTCTCCCAAGAAAAGAAACACCTCTCTAGCAATACACACCAAACTGAGCATGTGCAGCTTGCTCCCAAGGTCCTGTTCTATCAGCAGATGGATTGGGGACAGTAGAAGAAGGGACAGATCAGAGAAGACAGGATCAAACAGCCTTTTTACACAATGCAATAAATGAACCCCTTAGGTTTCACAGTGACAGGATAATAAGCATGCTTCACTGCATATACAGACTGATTTTACTGTTGTGGGTTTAGTAACACTTTAATGAAACTGCTATTTTTTCCTTCTAATATATTTGTATACAATCATTATTATACAATTATTCTATTGGCATGATCATTGTTTTAGTCCCCCCCCCACCCCCCAAAAAAAATAAAACAAAAAAAACTGGTTGATGAGGAATACATCACAATACTGTACAAAGCTCAGCTTGCAGAGAAATGATACAAAGGACAAGAATTCATTGCCAAAATCTTGGATCCAATTTTGCTTTTAAAGGTCTTTAATTATTGCTGATGAATTTGTAATGGAAAGAAAGAAGCTCTGATGATACAAGAATAAAGGTGGATATAGGATCATCTTTCAGTGCTGTACCCCTGCCTGGACTCCTCAACAATTTAAAATGTCATAAAGATGGACTTTTCATTTTTCAGAGTATAATAAAGATGGATTTTTAATTCTTCACAGTGAACCGGTTATATCTAGTGCCGTCTTTTATAACATCTCTGTGCTTCGGCTGCCCAGGATAAGTGCAGAGCTGTGGATAAAGAACATTTTTTCAAGTCACCTTTTTTACTGGTATTCTGTCCAGGGGCGGACTGACCATTTGAAAACTCGGGCACTGCCCGAGGGCCCAGGGTCAGTAGGGGGCCCCATGAAATGCCCCTGGTACATTTTTATAGGCTTTTGTGGGTGTGCTTTGAGTGTGGGCAAGAACACAGGGGCCCCATGATCCCCTATTGCCCAGGGGCCCCATGAGTTGTCAGTCCGCCCCTGATTCTGTCCCTATCCAACCTGAACTGTACCCTTTTGTTAAATCCTTGGAAGCAGGGACTGATGTGAATGTACAATATATAAGTAAAGTTGGCAGTGCTATAGAAGTACCCATAGTAAATAAATAAACCAAAAGAAAGCAAATTAGGCAGGTGATGTGATTTACTTCAGCCTGTGGTTGCAGGGAAAAAAAAAATCACCCATCAATACAGTTAGTACTGATGGGGGAGGCCCTCCCATAGTGCTATTATGTTCTGCCAATGAGGACCCTTTTCTGTTGGCAGAACACAACGATTACTGGTAGCCTCCCTAGCGGTCTGATTATGTCAGTATTTCTGTGCTCAAAGCGGTACATTTTTTTTGCATGGAAATATGTATTTTTTTTATTGTAGGCCTGTAATTTTTAGGAATAACTCACAGAAATCAAAAAGTCTAGTAAACATCCCGGGTAGTTTAAAATTTGAAACACGAAATCATAAATTATAATTTAATAAATAATCATAAAAATAATAATATAACAATAATACATTTAATTCAATAATATAATCAAACTAAAAAAACACTGAAATCTGAAATAGAGCGCCAAGTTCGCACATCACTGATCTTAGTCTCAAAATCGTTTTCAGTGTCTAATGACGAATTTCCCCACGAATCATTAGCACTCAATTCTGCAAGTGGTTCTGATTTACTATCGCTGTTCTCTAGCCGGTCTAAAACCGCTTTTGACCTAAAGGGACGCTTTTTGGACGCCATGGACATTTCTCAGTTTCAGTAAAAATGCAGGCAGGGCACAGGACAAAGCACTCGGGACAAAATGTATGTGAAATGCATTGAAACAGCAATGTTTTACTATGTAATAATAATTTTTTAAAAAAATGAAATTTTTTTAAAAATGTCAAATTTGCCGCCGGTTCCGGCGCCCGTACGTCCCGAAGTCACAGGGACCGGAACACGGAAGCCGGATGCCGGCATCGGCCGGAGGAGATGGCCGGGGACGCTGCAGGGGACACATCGTGGGAGCGAAGGACAAGGTAAGTGCTGCAGGGACTCCATGAGCAACGCCGCATGGTAAGCCCGAGTGTAGCTCGGGGTTACCGCTCTTGGTACTCAAATTTTACCCCGTGCTACACTCGGGAATAACGCCAGGGAGGTTTAAAGCCAAACTACAGACACACAAATCTTGAATTTAAATATATTCCTCGTTAGCCGCAAAGGACATAAACTAATTTTGTGTACCTTTGTAAATTCAGATATTACCTTGTAAAAGTAGCGGTGTGCTCTATATAGGCTGTGCACAGAGTAGAGCTGTGGGAGGGACCCAGCAGGCCCCACCCACTACAGGCTGCCTGCAGAAAACTACAGAAGGGGGTGGAAACAAGACCAGTCACCCTGCACAAGGAGAGAGAGCAGCAGTACTGAAAATCACACTGCAGTGAGTTGCACAGGAATCGCACAATAACTGGCACTTTAAAAAAAAAAAAAAGATAAAATATCAAAGGCTTTTGACCTAAAGGGACGCTTTTTGGACGCCATGGACATTTCTCAGTTTTCAGTAAAAATGCAGGCAGGGCACAGGACATAGCAGTAGGGACAAAATGGGTGTGTAATGGTTTGATACAGTAATGTTTTTAGTGAATATAGTGAATGTCACTTTTACAACTTTCAAATTTCCCGCGAGTTCCGTCTCCCGTATGTCCTGACGTTGCAAGGAACGGAACCCGGAAGACAGGTGACGGCATCCTCCGAAGGACATTGCAGGGGACACTGTAGGGGGGACATCGCGGGACCGCAGGACAAGGTAAGTGCAGAAGGGATCCCGGAGCAGCACTGCAGGGTATTCCCGAGTGTAGCTCGGGGTTACCGCTTGTGGTGCTGAAACTTTACCCCGAGCTACACTCGGGAATACCGCCAGGGAGGTTAATAGCTAAAGCTGCCGGCAGTGATCCTGTATAGAAAATTCGACTTCAGTATAACCAGCCTCCCCATAGGTAGATCGAATCTCAATTGGTGCCTGGTGCACCGGCCAAGATTGGATCCATCTGTGGCCAGCTTAAGAGAAGGGAATTGTCATACATACACTTTAATTGTAAGTGGTGCCATCCTGACTGGGCTGTGTAAATTTCAGGACTGGAAGGATAGTAAGATAAATCCTTTGCTAGGTAAACCCGCGTATGCATTTCATTTGTGTGCTTAGTTGTTTACACGGAGTTCAGCTTCCAGTCAATAGTACAGCATTGAGTGGTCACTGTACGTAGAACTTGATTAGCTTTTTATTGACGTCATTGGTCTGTATGATTTTAATTATTCACTGCAGTATTTCACAGGACAGAACAGTCCCAGCCATCATCTTGCAGGATGGAAATGCATGCTAAGCCATCCTTGCCGTTATCTCCTTGCTCTTCATCATGACCCCAAGGCATACACTTTGCTGCATCTGAAGTCCAATTGCTTCCTTGATCTAAAACAGCCATCTATTACTGATATATCTCAGCAAAACTGGATGTCAGAATGCAACCAGCCAATCAATTTCAGCCATAATTACATATTGGTAAGCAACCAAGGAACAACATAAGCATGTGCTTAAAAATATGTCCTACCCATTGCTGGCCAACAAAAGTCTTCAAATGTATTTCCAGTTTCGCAGTCAAATTTGAGAAACCCTTATATATATATATTTTTATGTGTTTCAGTTCACACAGAATACCTAAAAATAATTTTAAAAAAATTCTTACCTTGCTAGTTGGGACTAGAGACTGCAGCATCACTCCTGTCAGAAGGAACAGAAGTGATTTCACTGACACAGGGATATTTTTTTCCTTCCAGTGATGTTGGAGCATTTTTTTTCCTTCCAGTGATGCCAACAAAGAAGGGACAGTTTTTCTGTCCAGTGACACCACTGACTTAGGGACCTATTCTCTTTACAATGAGACCACCCATGCTGAAACATTTTTTTTCTTCTAGTGACACCACTGACACGGGGAACTTTTTCCCACCCAGTGATATCACTGACTCAGGGACCTGTTTTAATTCCAGTAAAACCACCAATGCAGGGACATTTTATTCTTTCCAGTGGCAAAACCCATGTTAGAACATCAGTGCCCTGATGATCGGTGCCCAGCAGTGCTGCCCACAAGTACCCAGCAGTGCCACCCCCCTGTGCCCATCAGTGCTCAGCAGTGCCACCCACCTGTTCCCAGCAGTGTCACCCACCTGTGCCCAGCAGTGCCCACCAGTGCCACCCACCAGTGCCCATCAGTGCAGCCCAGCAGTGCCACCCATCAGTGCCCATCAGTGCCACCAGTCAGTGCCCAGAAGTGTCGCCAGTCAGTGCCATCAGTCAGTGCCACCCATCAGTGCCCAGAAGTGCTGCCAGTCAGTGCCCATCATCAGTGCTAGCTCAACAGTGCCGCCTATCAGTGCCACCTATCAGTGCCTATGAGTGCTGCCTATCAGTGCCGCCTATCAGTGACCATCAGTGCCGCCTATCAGTGCCCATCAGTGCCCATCAGTGTTACCTATCAGTGCAGCAACACCATTTCAGCACATGCCACAAAAATTCCATACATTTGCCCCATCCCCTCCCAGGAGGTTAGTTCGCCAACTTCGCCTGAGCGCTGGATGGCCTTTTCCTGGCACTGGACTCTGTAGACAGGTTCCAATACGCAACCAGCAGACAGATTTGGGGACTGATTTTCAAGAGCCCATACCATGTATTATCCAAGCCTTACAATCTTTAACCCTTTGTTGGGACAGACAGGTCAACACATCGAACTTACAACTGATAATGAAGACCTGCCAGCACAGCACAGATGGGGTAATCATGTTAAACATAACTCTCCCGCTGCTTCCTTAACAATACAAATAAGGGGAAAGCTAAAAAAAAAAATTCTCATGTATTTATTTATATTTTTACATGGTTTCTTTTTTTTTTTTCTTGACCACTTTTATTCCTATTACAAGGAATATAAACATCCCTCGTAATAGAAATATGCATGACAGGTCCTCTTTAAGGAGAAATCTGGGGTCAAAAAGACCCCAGATCTCTCCTTTACCTTTAAAAGCAAAATATTGAATTAAAAAAATAAATAAATAAAAAAACAGGACTTTTCCTTTAAAAAAGAAGAAAACTGACATTGCTCCAGTCAATAATAATAGAGGTAATCAGAGAGTTTCTCATCGCCTCCATCTTCAGCCAGCCACACCATCGGATCTTTCTTGGGCGGGCCGGTTTTAACAGTAAGCCCAAAAATCACTAGCGAGCAGAGAGAGGGGGGGGGACACATCCCCTCCCGCTGATACAGAATGCGATCCAGTGACTGGAGAGGTTCCCAATGCCTCCCCTGTGTATATATAGATATATATACACAGGGCTTTTTTTTTCTCAGAGAATAGGTGCAGGAACCCACCCTCCCTAGTCAACTCCCTGCCCCCACCCCCACCCCCAATCCTGCTATTCCTCAGGAAAGAGATGTAAAGTGTTACCAAATAATGGGTGTGGTCAAGGCTCACCTTCCCTTTCCCTGTCCCCTTCCACAGATCACCCTCTCCACCAATCCACAGCTCACCCTCTCCCCCCATTCACAGCTCACCCTCTCCTCCCATCCACAGCTCACCCTCTCCCCCCCATCCACAACTCACCCTTTCCCCCCATCCACAGCTCACCCTCTCCCCCCATGCACAGCTCACCCTCTCCCCCCCCATCCACAGCTCACTCTCTCCCCCCATGCACAGCTCACCCTCTCCCCTCATCCACAGCTCACCCCTCTCCCCCATCCACAGCTCACCCCCCCCCCAGATCCACACCTCACCCTCTCCCCCCCAATCCACAGCTCATCCTCTCCCACCCCTCCCCCCCCCATCCACAGCTCACACACTCCCCTCCTCCGCAGGTCACCTTCTCTCTCCCTGTCCACAGCTCCCTCCCTGCTCCCCGCAATCCACAGCTTACCTTCTCCCCCCCTCCCACATTCCACAATTCACTTTAGCATGTCCCCCCCCCCCATCAACAGCTCCCCTATTTATGCTCTGTCAACATGTAACCCCCCCCCCCCATTCACAGCTTAAACCCCTAGTCCACAATCACCTCTGCACCCTCATCCACGCTTATCTTTCTTTTAAAATCGCTTTAAAACCTGATTTCAACAAAATACAAAAACTAAATGCAAAAATAGTAATAGTAATAATAATAACAATATACCAATTCATTCAAAATACATTATTATTACTATTATTATTATTTTATGAATAATCCCAGAATTGGTCACCAGATAAAATATTGTTTAGGATTCAACATAAATTTGGCTCTTGCTATAGAGATCCCCAAGCTGCAAAATAGTATGGCTTATTCTCTACTATGTATTTTTAAAAAATATCTCTCCATGTTATAAAATAGACATGTTGAAAACTTGAATTATATTCTAATTGCCTTTGATATTTTATCTTTTTTTTTTTTAAAAGTGCCAGTTATTGTGCGATTCCTGTGCAACTCACTGCAGTGTGATTTTCAGTACTGCTGCTCTCTCTCCTTGTGCAGGGTGACTGGTCTTGTCTCCACCCCCTTCTGTAGTTTTCTGCAGGCAGCCTGTAGTGGGTGGGGCCTGCTGGGTCCCTCCCACAGCTCTACTCTGTGCACAGCCTATATAGTGCACACCGCTACTTTTACAAGGTAATATCTGAATTTACAAAGGTACACAAAATTAGTTTATGTCCTTTGCGGCTAACGAGGAATATATTTAAATTCAAGATTTGTGTGTCTGTAGTTTGGCTTTAACCTCCCTGGCGTTATTCCCGAGTGTAGCTCGGGGTAAAATTTGAGTACCAAGAGCGGTAACCCCGAGCTACACTCGGGCTTACCATGCGGCGTTGCTCATGGAGTCCCTGCAGCACTTACCTTGTCCTTCGCTCCCACGACGATGTGTTCCTTGCAGCGTCCCCGGCCATCTCCTCCGGCCGATGCCGGCATCCGGCTTCCGTGTTCCGGTCCCTGTGACTTCGGGACGTACGGGCGCCGGAACCGGCGGCAAATTTGAAATTTTTAAAAAATTTCATTTTTTTAAAAAAATTATTATTACATAGTAAAACATTGCTGTTTCAAACCATTTCACATACATTTTGTCCCGAGTGCTTTGTCCTGTCCCCTGCCTGCATTTTGACTGTTCTTTCTGCCTGGAAACTTAGAAAAGTCCATGGCGTCCTAAAAGCGTCCCTTTAGGTCAAAAGCGGTTTTAGACCGGCTAGAGAACAGCGATAGTAAATCAGAACCACTTGCAGAATTGAGTGATAATGATTCGTGGGGAAATTCATCATCAGACACTGAAAACGATTTTGCGACTTTGCTCAGCGATGTGCGACTTTGCCTCTTATTTCAAATTTCAGTGTTTTTGGTTTGATTATATTATTGAATTAAATTTACAATTATTATATTATTATTTTTTATGATTATTTATTAAATTATAATTTATGATTTCGTGTTTCAAGTTTTATCATATCCGGAATGTTTAATAGACTCTTGTTCGGACAGATTTCAGTGAGTTATTCCTAAAAATTACAGGCCTACAATAAAAAACTACATATTTTACCATTCAAAAAAATGTACCGCTTTCAGCACAAAAAATCGGAAAGAATCATACCGCCGAGGAGGTTAAGGAAATTTAAAAAAAAAAAAGAAAAAGATTTTTACTAGCACATGATTAGATGAGAGACATCCGCATAGCTGAACTATTCGCTAAGCTAAGCGCAGTGCACAAGCTCCACTTATTTAGTAAATCAGTTTCAGAGCATTGTTCTACTGGTAAGACCCGGTTCACACTAGTGCGGGCTGTGCAACCCGCGTTTGCTCAGGCACAGCAGCCCATTTATTTGAACGGGCTGCTGTGCCCGCATTTCACGCAAGAAAAATGTGCATGCACTTTTTCTGAAATGCAGTCACACAGAAACACACATGGTCTTTTTGACCATGCAGTTTCCATGCGGTTCCTGCACCTGCGATCATGGTGCGATCACGCTGCGGGATGAGATGCGTGGGGGTGCCATTCAGAATTAATGTGAATTTGTGTCTTTGGTGCGACATGAATGCCATAGACTGCAACAAGTCGCAAAAGTCGCAAGGTTGTCAGATCTCTCTCCTATCTTTGTGACATTGACTGCGACTTCAGAGGGTTTTAAGCTAAAGTCGCAAAACATCAAAGTCACATGGAAGCTGACATTGAAGTCGCATGGAAGTCGCATCACATTGCAAACAAGTCACAATGGAAAGTTGCAGTATTAGTTGCAGGACTTTGGGGTCACAGCATTGTGAACTGAACCTAAACTTTAAAGTTGTACTAAACCAGCCTTCACCATATCCAGTCTTCCACAGTACACAGAACATGGAAATGCAATTATTTAGTAAATATAAACTGATAAATACATTTTCTCATTAGCAGTTAGAGCAGTCTTGTGACTTCCATTAGTGTCTGGCCAAGCACTGGTTAATCTTGTAGGAGGAGTTTTCACTCTGCTCTGACTGCCCTGTGAGGCTGCTTGACCCCTGATCCTCTGGAGTTAGAGCACATGGAGCAGTCTTGTGACTTCTATCAGTGTTCAGTAGAGCACTGGTTAAAGCTTGTAGGAGGAGTTTTCTCTGTCTAGCCAGTGCTAATTGGCCCTATGCTGATCACATGCACCTTCCCAAAGAAAAAAAAACTCTCTAGCAATACACACTAAACTGGGCATGTGCAGAGTGACTCGTAGAGCTCTGTACTATCAGCAGATGGATTGGGGACAGTAGACGATCAGAGAGGACAGGATCAAACAGCCTTTTTACACAATGCAGAGGATTAACCCCTTAGGTTCCACAGTGAGTATAACAAGCATGCTTTACCGCATATACAGACTGATTTTACTGTTGTGGGTTTAGTAACACTCTAATAATTAATTTATTAAAGCTGATGCCTGATTTTAATGACTGGGTTTAGATCTACTGATAGGTGGCAGCTGGAGACGAGTGGGCTCTAAAACAATTGGAATATTTGGGAAATTGTCGTACGTTGGTATGCCCTGATTCAAAAAATAAAGATACCGATAACAGAGGAGCTTAAAATTAAAGAAATAAAAACATAATGCACAGTGTGTAATTAAAACCCCAGAAACATAAGACCATATAGACACATGCTGAGCAAATAAACTTTTTTTTTTTTTACTTTGTATTATAATGTAACAGATATTTAATTGGTATATAAAGTGTACCCATTTACTGAACATAAATTCATGCTTAGAGGTGGAAGCAGTCAACTGTTGTAAAGTATACTTCTAATAAAAGAACATTCTATCCCTAATCCTGAAGAATTAAAGTGTATCTCCTTCAGAGGTTTAACTCCTTATTGAGAGTCACTGCTCTACTTAGGGTCAAGGCCGCCAGGAATGTAATTAACCTCCCTAGTGGTCTGATTATGTCCATATTTCTGTGCTCAGAGCGGTACATTTTTTTGCATGGAAATATGTAGTTTTTTATTGTAGGCCTGTCATTTTTAGGAATAACTCACTGAAATCTGTCCGAACAAGAGTCTAGTAAACATCCCGGGTATGTTAAAATTTTAAATACAAAATCATAAATTATAATTTAATAAATAATCATAAAAAAATAATAATATAATTATATTAAATTTAATTCAATAATATAATCAAACCAAAAACACTGAAATTTGAAATATAGCGCCAAGTTCGCACATCACTGAGCTCAGTCGCAAAATCATTTTCAGTGTCTGATGACGAATCTCCCCACGAATCATTATCACTCAATTCTGCAAGTGGTTCTGATTTACTATCGCTGTTCTCTAGCTGGTCTAAAACCGCTTTTGACCTAAAGGGACGCTCTTTGGACGCCATGGACATTTCTCAGTTTCCAGGCAGAAAGAACAGTAAAAATGCAGGCAGGGCACAGGACAAAGCACTCGGGACAAAATGTATGTGAAATGGTTTGATACAGTAATGTTATACTATGTGATTTTAGTGTATTTAGTGAATGTCACTTTTTCACATTTTTATATTTCCCGCCGTTCCGTCCCCCTTAAGTCCCGTACATCCCGCCGCTCGCAGGGAACGGAACCCAGAAGACAGATGCCAGCATGAGCCAGAGGACATTGCAGGGGACGCTGCAAGGGGGACATCGCAGGAGCGCAGGACAAGGTGAATGCAGAAGAAATCCCAGAGCAGCGCTGCAGGGTAATCCCGAGTGTAGCTCGGGGTTACCGCTTGTGGTGCTGAAACTTTAACCCCGAGCTACACTCGGGAATACCGCCAGGGAGGTTAAAGGGCAACTCCACTAGTTGTAACATTCACTAAATACACTAAAATCACATAGTAAAACATTACTGTATCAAACCATTTCACATACATTTTGTCCCGAGTGCTTTGTCCTGTGCCCTGCCTGCATTTTTACTGTTCTTTCTGCCTGGAAACTGAGAAATGTCCATGGCGTCCAAAAAGCGTCCCTTTAGGTCAAAAGCGGTTTTAGACCAGCTAGAGATCAGCGATAGTAAATCAGAACCACTTGCAGAATTGAGTGATAATGATTCGTGGGGGAAATTTGTCATCAGACACTAAAAACAATTTTGCGACTTTGCTCAGTGATGTGCGAACTTGGCGCTATATTTCACATTTCAGTGTTTTTGGTTTGATTATATTATTGAATTAAATTTATTATAATTATATTATTATTTTTTATGATTATATATTGAATTATAATTTATGATTTTGTATTTCAAATTTTAACATACCCGGCATGTTTACTAGACTCTTGTTCGGACAGATTTCAGTGAGTTATTCCTAAAAATTACAGGCCTACAATAAAAAAAAATCATGTGAAAAAAATAGCAAATAATTAAAAAAAATTAAATAAAATAACATATACAATTGCTACACAAGTCATATTGTAATTCAATGTTATTAAAAGCTACATTTCTTTTTCAATCTGCAGTGCTGTAATTTTCTGAAAAATGCAATATGGCAACCTGGAGGTGTTCTGTACACAGATGGTGTACAAACCTCCCCCCAGAAATGCCATTTCCTGCTTGTGTGATTGGCTTACGGATTTTCACAGAAGTCTGCACTAAAATACAAGTCAGATTTTGGGCATACCCTGCAACAAGAATGTCATTTTTGGTCACATACTCCCAAAGGGAAATCAGGTCTAAAGGGATGCAGACCCTGCCACTTTCCTCGTTAGAGCAGCGGCTGATTGGTAATTATAAAATCACTCCCTTTCATATTCATTTTGAACAAACAAAGAGCTATTTCTACAGAATAACAAAAGGTAGGAATCTGCAACAAAGTTTGTGAAACTCCTTGCAATGTACATAGATCACCCAGGGGAGAATGTTTTTTTCTCAACAAAATTGGAGTTACTCTTTAAGGTCACACTAAACTCCGGTATATTAAAAAAATCAATTTTTAACTCAAAAAAGTCCCCTCTATTGTTCCCAGCCTCCTCCAAATCTCCAAATTCCCTTTTTCGGTGCTGTGATCTGACTTCCTGTTGAAGGGTGGCTACACTCATTCCCCATGATCCCACTGTGTGTGGGACTGTAGCTACCTTCCTTTGTTCACACTCAAGATGGACGATGGAAATTGTAAGTAGCTAAGATGCACTGCTCACGCCAAACAAATAGAAGTGAGAGGGAAAAGGAAAGGTTTAGGAGCTCACGCAACACAGTACAAGGAGGCAGAAAAATACAGTAAATAACAATTTCATGAAAAATAACTAAAGGGCCATTAAATAGTTGATGTGTATGGACTATGTTTAGAAAACAGATATCATTTAGTGCCACTTTAACCACGTTCCCCTCTAAAAGATTTACCCCCCCCCCCCCCCCTTCCTGACCAGGCCATTTTTTGCTATACGGCGCTGCACTACTTTAACTAACAATTACACGATCATGCAACACTGTGTACAAATGAAATTTATATAATTTTTTTCACACAAATATAGCTTTCTTTTGGTGGCATTTGATCATCATTTGGTATTTTTTGCACTAATAATGAAAAAAAATACCAAAAATTTCAAA